TTAGAAGTTATTACAGCATAGTTTACTAATAAAATAAATCAAAAATAAAGCAATATGCATGAAAGTTTAGTGAAATATAAAAAAATTTCCATAATTTGTACTTTTAAAACCTTAGTTTACCTAATAACATAGTAAATGCCGCGTGCTTCCAAGGTAAACTTCGTCAAAAAAAAGTTTTACACTTTGTAGCTTTGAAAAATAAAAGTGTGACATTTACTTTATTGTTTGTGTTATTTTTAGTAAACTATGCTTATAGTTTTTGTTACATCAGAAATCATTAAAGTCGGCGTATTATGACAAATTAGTATATGATTTGCGTCAAATTTTATATGTAATTTCTCTAGTTGACTCGCGGATCGTCAATTAAACTAACTACAAACTCAGATCGGGGTCTGGTACAAAATCCGAATGTCAAAATCCCGAAAATCCTGAACCGGCCGGCATTATTCTTAATGCTGGTCAATTTTTCGGTATTTTGACATTCGGATTTTGTACGGATCCCCCATCATCAGTCATAGTTTCACGAATCGTATTTTTGATAATCATCGACGTCAAACATATCATGAGTGAGGTGTATCATTTGCTACATTTTAAAAAACGGAACATAACGTTCGTATAAAAAGAAATATTCTATATGAAGTTTACGAATTGCTTGAAATAATCTCACAGACGATTCTCGCTGACTGGCCATAAGAGTATCAAAATATTTCTGCCATTGGATATTCCCCAGTTAACAATTTAATAATTATATCATTTTTATAATGATTATAACATCCAATATATTATTATTTTCTTTAATAATTTTTAAGAAATAACTTACCCCAATAACTTTCTAATTCATTGAAATGTTCGTTTATCTAACCAATAACTTAATTAGTAAATTTCGGTGATAAATAGCTTGATTAAAAAATGACGACTAAATAGTATCACGACTTAAAATTATTATCATACGTTATTCCTTTCAATTCTTTAATCCTTTGTAATTTGGACATCTCATCTCATGTCTTCATACATCGTAAAAAATTATTAATCTCATATATGTCACCATATTCATCGTAATAAAGGATTAACACGAATAAAAAATATTTGTAACATAATATGCTACATATATTATTAATACTGTACTTAAAAGTCACAAAACAAAATCATTAATTTCAAAATTCATTTAAAAATCATCTTATTGTTTCTCTTTTCTTTATTTTTCTTCCCTGTAAAAAAAGTCGATCCGTTTTTTTATATTCCACCTTTTTTCCGTAAAAGGCTCATCTTTCCGGAATTATTAACCTTACTTATATCACGGAATTTATATCGAATTATTTTCATTTTCCGTGAAAGGCTCATTTTTACGGACAAAATTTTTTATAGAGCTTTTGTTGCTGATCAGCTGCTTAAGCTCCTTTTTTTATGCTAAGATGCTTTTTGCCCCTTTCGATATCTCTTATATTTTTTTTAGTGTTCTTACGCAAATTCGTATATCTTGTCTTTGGTGAGATTATCTGAATTATTCATAAATAGAGTCTCCCCTAGTACTAATCCTTTAATTGTTATAATAATTATAATTTATTTATAATAAAATATTTAAATTTTGGTACAAAATTTTATAAATATATTTTAATATGAAGGATTCTAACAAAGTCTTATAAAAAAATTTGGGTAAATAAAAGCAGATCAATGGAATTGTATTATTACGAATAACCTTTAAGAAAATAAAACGTGCAAATACTTAATAACTAGTACGTGGTCTCTATAATCACATTTTAACCAATTAGAATATGGTACTAAATTAATCACGTATCTATTTCATAATTGACCTATAAAACTGAAAAAATGATTGTTAATCTATGCACATTAAACAAGTATTAAGCATAATTATCTAACGACCAGAAGTCAACAATTATTAGAATTAAAGCACGTAGAGATAATATCCTCAGCATAGGGGTGTTTGGCGAAATTAATGGTAAAAGGCGTTCGAAAATAATGGTAAACCCTATTTCTCCTCACTAAACGCTGTAGGCCTCACCGGATACTATCATGTTTGTGTATTGACCTCAGGGGTACTACCCGTGTATCCTATAATTGAAGACAACCAGGCATGAACAGATAAAAATAACAGACACTCACTTGTGAATTTAAGAGTAGATTGACCTATAAAACTGAATGAGAGAAATGGTTAACCTATGTACACTTGGTTAAAGTAAGCATTATTATCTAATGACCAGAAGCCAACAATTAAGGATTAAAGCCAAGAGTTTAATACTTTCAGATCTAGTTATTTGACACCAAACCTGTTCAATTGTATGGATGGCAAGAGACTTTGAAAGTCTAGGTATTTGTTCACCTGTATGACATTCATCCGTACAGGTGAAATATTAATTATACTCACCACTTAATGATGTGTCCTTTACTATTAACGTTGTGTAGGATATATATTTTGATACGTTTGAAGGGATAATGATAGGTTTAAATGTTAGTGTTCTTGTAGATTAGTATAGTTTGTTTCTGTTATATTCAGAATGTCAGATCTAAGGTGTCATCTGTGGACATTGTGTTCTCATTCACACTTATTATTGTTGATGATTTCGCTAGGAGTTGTGTAAGTTCCTGTTGCTGCGCCACATAAGAAAGCGATCTTTGAAGTTTTATTTCTTGCAGTGAAACTTCGCCAGTATTATTATGGCCTGAAGTATTGAATAGTCTATAACCAACAGTACTAATAACTTCGTTATCTTGCCATAGGACACCTGTGATAACTGTAGAGGGGTGGTTTTAAGTTTTGTCAGTCATCCAAACATATCATGTAAAAAACTTTGAACGTAATAATAAACTCTGGGATATATTTTTAGTGTATTTCTGGGTAAGTGACGTTTAGTAATATTTTCTATCGGGTATTGCATTGGTATATCTACTTTGATGGATTTTATACGATAATTGTGTTTATCGTGTCGTAAAATATTGTTAAAAAAAAGGAAAGAAAGTCTTTTTATATACTTTTTTTGTTGTGCAAACTTTTTTATAAATTACGTAAATAAATACATAAAGTTAAATTATAATGCTCATGAAGTCATGAATCTTATGCAAAAGTATATTTTGTATATAAATGACTCATTACAGCACTACGCCAATCAACA